TTTTATTATCTGTTTTTTTTTTTTTTGAGATTTATAATTTTATATTAATATAATTTTACATTGTTTCTACTAGTATTATTATTCATATCATTGTAATTTATTTGTAAATGTTTATTTTTTGTTTTAAATATTAATATTTATGTATTATATGTATATATATATATATATATATATATATATATATGCATACATTTTGTTTTAAATTATTATTATTATTATCATTATTATTATAGTTGCTGAAACTGTCTCTAATCTTGTTTTACTCACTAAATATACTGTAGAGCTTTGTTTATTTTAAAAGTTTTATTTTTTATTTTTGTTTTATGTTTTTAATGTTAATATATTTTATCTATTATTTTTTATTGATCTATTGTTTTTCATATTTATTTTTATTATTATTTTATATTATTATTATCTTTTATTTTATTTTAGATGTTTTTTTGTTTTAAATATTAATATTTATTGTATGCATTATTATTTTTATTTTATTATTTTGTTGTTATTTGTTTACATTTATTTGTTTGGTTTTATTATTATTATTATTATTATTATTATTATTATTATAACATCTCCAGTTCTGTTTTCCTCACTGAAAACAGGAAGGAAATGGTCCAGAAGTATTTGTTTTACAAAAAATTATAAAATCACAACTGCAAAAGCCATCAAAGGGTCCAAAGCTTTTACTGTACAGCTCTCTGATATGAAAATGAGAAGCTGTTTTTCTAAAGTATGGCTTCAGAGTGATAGATTAGAGGGAAGATGATCGCAGCAATCGAGTTCAGGCGTTTGCTCAAAGTTTTATACATTATACACTATATAGAGGTACAGAAGCTGATTATACAAACCAGGAAAAGGACAATTATGTTCCGACGTATATTATTCAATACACACTCTGGGAATAACTATTACTATAAAAGTAATAGGAAGCATTATTGTATTCTGGTGGGAATGCAAACAAGAGCCGTTTGCAAGAAAACTAGAGGAATAATGTTCAGAATATTTCACACAACACACCGCTTTCTCATTAAATAGGTAAAGAAATAAGGCTTTAACACGCTCTCGCACATATATAAATAATAATGCTGTATGAAAACGCTTGGTTTTATATAAATCAGGTCACCTGACCGTGTGTTTCGTATGGAGAAAAATGGGTCAGCTTTGTGGAAAGGGTTTTTTTCAGTAGGTAAAAGCGTTTTAAACAGTCTTCAATTTCTTATGAAGTTGAATAATAAATGTAAAGCTGGATGGGCTTTAAAAACATCCCCAAGTGCCCCAATTTCAGTGCTGATGCGAGGAGCTGCATGTGAGGGTTGCTGGGAATGTCAGTGGATGTGAGCGTCATGATATTTACTGTACAAACGTTGAAGTCAACATGACATCAAAACTGACTGTTTACCTTCTAGGGCTGCACAATTAATCGAGTTTCTAATCGCGATTACAATTATGGATGCCACGATTACGTAATCGTTCAAAGCAGCAATTAATCGTTCAAAGTCCACTTATGCTATTCTGCGTGCTTAAGATGCATGTTTTTTTATTTCTACATGTTATCTTAAGGGTTTTTCTATTTTAGTTTTAGTATAACATTATAATACCATTCATATTTTTACTTTTTTTATCATTTAAAGAAGAAACCAATCCGATGTTTAGTTGACATTTGAGGCTTAATACTGTAGAAAAGCACTAAAGGTTTTTCAGTTTGAGTGTTTTCAGCTTGTTTATTTTCATATAAAAATACAGCATACAGTTGCATCAAACAATGGTATAAACATCATTCAATGTAAATTGTGATAATCATAATTAATAATCGCAATTACAATTTCAAGGGAATAATCGACAATTATGATTTTTGTCATAATCGTGCAGCCCTAATACCTCCTTATTACGACTTCCAGGTACAAGTGCATGTTATTTTAAAACATGAATATTTGTCTTCCTAATCTTTCATTAAAATCTCTCAGTTGACTTTCTTTTTCAGCTGACGTCAACAATTCATTTTTATGTTATATCCACCTGTCACATTCAGACAGTTTTCACCACCCAAATCTTTTTCAAATCAAGTTGTGGCCTTTTTTTTCTTGTTTATTGACCAGTTTTATTCAGAAATGTCATATTATAGAAGTAAAACGGATTGTTTCATGATAAATTGTAAGCATATTTTTTAAGATTAAGACTCAGTTACACTGAGTACAAATAATTTTATTTACCTTTTGAAACAGTGTTTACACTATCTATCTATCTATCTATCTATCTATCTATCTATCTATCTATCTATCTATCTATCTATATGTCTGTCTGTCTGTCTGTCTGTCTGTCTGTCTGTCTATCATTTAATCTATCATCTAATCTTTCTCTCTTACTTCAGTGTTTTCCCTTTATCTTTTCCCTGGTTTTGCATCAGATGTACTCAGATATCTTCATTTATTGTATAATATATTTTATAGAACTAAAGTCAATGCAGATGGAATATGAAAAGCTAATGTGCTTAAAAGTACAGTTGTACTATGCTGTATGCAATGTTGTGGTAAAAATAAAACAAAACAATGTTTTTAAAGTGCTTACATGTCAAAGACATTTAGGAGCATACATACTCTACATTCTGTTCAAAGGATTATTTAAAATGTTTTTTAAAGAAGTCTCTTCTGCTCACCAAGGCTGCATTTATTTGATCCAAAACACAGAAAAAAAAATGTAAAAATGTGAAATATTATTATGATTTAAAATAACTGTTTTCTATGTGAATATCTGTTAAACTGTCATTTATTTATGTGATCAAAGCTGAATTTTCAGCATCATTACTCCAGTCTTCAGGGTCACATGATCTTCAGAAATAATTCTAATATGCTGATTTGCTGCTCAAGAAACATTTCTGATTATTATCAATGCTAAAAACAAGACTTCACTCTCACTTTTGATCAATTTAATGGGTTTTTGCTGAATACGAGTATTAATTTCTTTCAGACAAACCCCAGTCGTTTAAACAGTAGCTCTGTGCATCATGTGTTTCTGTGTGTCTGTAGAGAGCTGTGATTCTCCGCTGGTTTCCGCTCTGCCTCAGTCGGCCTTCACGAGTTCATCAGAGCTGTCCAACAGTCACGGGCCGGGCTTCGCCAAACTCAACCGCAGAGACGGTAATTCAACACCTTCAATCATTATTCACTCTTCTGCTTCTGCTTTTACACCAAGCTGTATTGTACAGTATAAAGCGCTATAGAAATAAAGGTGACTTATTTAAGTTATTGGAGTTATTTAAGTTAACTAAAGCTAAAATTATTAAAGGAAATGTTGTTACCTGAAATAAACAATAAACTGAAATATAAAACACTTTTTATTTCAGCAGTTGCCAAGTTTCAGTTTCAATTTCAACTAGATGTACTAAAATAACTAAAATTGAAATAAAAATGAATAAAAACTATATAGACATTTAAAACTCTACTAAAATTACAAAAACACAACAAAATTACTACAACTTTAACTAAATTCAAATGAAAACAGAAATATAAAAATAAAAATTGATTTATAATATTAATAACTAATAGTGTCACAATTATACTAAAAATGTATCATTAAAAAGTCCTATAAGTAAAGCACATTGTTTTTTTAACCAGTGTTATTTTAGATATTTAGAGAAATTTTAGATCACCAAGGCACTTTTATAGTTTTTGTTTATTTTCTGAATTAGATTTACTTTTTAGTAAAAAAAAATAGTAATTTTGTATAGGCCTAGTGTTTTTTTCCCATTATTTTTATTATTATTTTAAACATGTCTGTATAGTTTTTTATTAATTTTTATTTATTAGTTTTAGCTTATTTAATTTTGTTAAACTACATGAAAATGAAAAATGTTGCTCTGGCACCTATATATATATATATATATATATACATTACGTGTGTGTGTGTGTGTGTTTTATTTCATTTCATTTAATTTAACATTTATTTCAAGTAATAAAAGTGTTTATTTAAGGTTTTAGTTTAGTTTTAACTCTTATAACCCTGAATCTACACTGAAAAAACTGTTAAATTTACTTAATTTTTCTTTTGCAAGTTTTTGTACACACATTTAAAGAAAAATTTAAATATGGAATTAAGTTAAATCTACTTAACTAAGTTATGCAAAATTAGCAAAGAGAATAACTAAATTTAACGTGGCCACTTAGAGTTTGATGAGTAATTTCTACTTAATTATTTGAAGTTTATACTCTGCAATATCTCTTCATGCACATTTTACTCAGTCACGGTTTTTAAACTTTACTCATACAATGTAGCACTGAAAATAGCCATGCTGTTAGAGAATGTGGTTCACTAGAGAGTGTGGAACACAGAGACGTCAATACTTAACAATCAGTAGATAGTGTTTGAGAATGAATGGGTCATTTTGAATAGAAAATGAACTCCAGATTTCACAAAACAGCAGGTTTCTAAACCAACCAACAAAAGCAACCATAAAAGTGACGTGACATGTGGCCAAGTATGGTGTCTCATACTCAGAATTTGTGCTCTGCATTTCACCCATCCAAGTGCACACACACTGCAACTAGAGCTGGGCGGTATGACTGTATATATCGTTATATAAAGTGTTGAAATAAAGTGAAATAAAGTGATATTTCAACTAAATAAACTGTCTATCGTTAGAGATTTTGCTATATCGTGTATTCCGAGGTATGCAGATATCTCTGCGTAACACAGTACTGCTTAAACGTTATACACCTTTTGAGTGATAAGGAAACATGCATAAATGAGAAAATAAAGAGTGGGACGCAATTGGTAGAGTTAGTAAGTGCAATAAGCAGTGAAAAATAACTCAATGCGGTGCTGGTGCTGACTGACACACAGCCGAAGCGCGTGCACTGAAAGCCCCTCTCAGACAGCAAGCGATCGCGAAAACAGATCTCTTTCATGTTTTATTGTGCTTGAATGGTCAAATACAAACACAGTGATGTCATAATGCCCATCGTGTGGAGTATTCAGTTGAACACAGTCGGTTATATGTTAAATAAATGTAAAAGAGTCGGGTGAAAACCGGATGTGTTTCAGTATATTGGATCCGTGCAGTCAGTCTTAAAGGGACAGCAGCCTTATTTACCTGCTGCTGTCTGTCATTATTAACGTTAATCATGTTTGATTGATACAGTGAAGACTATGCAGTGTTTTATTTATACACTTTATTCAATTTCTGTAATATTTCTTACCACATGTTAAATAAACCATAGCCTACTATAGCTGAATAAATTAAAAGTTTATTTCATATTTATTTGTTCTGTTGTGCTTGTAATTTGCTTCTTTTTCTTAATTTTAATAACAAAAATAAAATAAAAAATAGCTATATCGAGGTACATATCGTTATCGTGAAATAAAATTTCTCATACCGTGAAATTAGATTTTCAACTCTAACAGCAACCATTAGGCCACGACTACCCCTAAAGCAGTGTAAATACAACTCGAAAACAGTGAAAAATTCAACCTTATTAATTATTCATGCCCCAGCGCATGATGGAAACACCGGTATCATAACTTTGATATTTACTCAAAGAATCCTTGTAAACATGACCAACAATTCCAACTTATAAGTTCAAACTTTAATTTCTACAAGCTTGAATTGAGTGCTAATATAGAATTTACTCTTTTTTTATTCTTGCCTGAATTAAATTATTTAATGTAGAAATTACATTTGTTTTTCCGTAGTATTTACTTCACCACAGAATCATTTTTATCAGTGTAATTCTACTTTCCCTATCAATATACAGTAAGTGCCAAAAGACCATCAAATATATGGTATTGCTGTTTATTCTGGCCAAGAACTGCAAAGCCTTGTGGGTCACGGCACTTTTGATGGCTGCGAGCATCTGGTGTCATTTGTGGCAGCTCAGTGAGATTCAGCGGTTTATCGCATTAGTTGCGCTTGTGTCGTGGCATTCGGTGTATCCGTGAATGCGTCCCTCTTGAGGCTGATGACAGGTGACCACATTACAGATGAGCTCAAAGAACGGCCCGCCTCACGTTTCAAAAGCTAATAGATAGGCTGAAAGAATAATTTCAGCCTGTTAAATGCCGCTGCAGCGCAGTGTTTAAGTGCAAATATGTTTCCTCCAGGAGCGACAACATTAATGACTGGAGTAGGAGGAAGTGTAATTGTTGTTCCTCCCAGAAAATAGCCTTCAAAGGTGCAGCACACGCACACACACTCACTCACACACACACACACTTACAATCACACACACACACACACACACACACACTCTCTCGTCAACAAACAAACAAGCACACACAGTGTAGGAGGCTCTGAGAGCAGCGCTTCAAAGACTGCAGTGCCCGGTCTGATGTTTCTGCTTAAAGGCCGCAGAGAAAAAAAGCAGAGGCTGCAGTCACCTCTTCCGCACACCTGCTCGCTGGAGACTGACATCAAACTCTATATAAAACCAGCACAACACGCTGGACTCTGGGAGAGAGACAGGCTTCTTGTTTGGACGGTTTTGTAGCATCTTGAATCTTAAAGGGATAGTTCATTCAAAAATGAAAAATTGCTGTTAAAGGGGTCATGAATTGAGAAATCAACATTTACTTGAGCTTTTGATATACAAGAGGTCATCATACTAAAATAATATCCTGTAAGTTTCAGAACTGAAAACGTCCTTGTTACTGAAATAAAAGCTTTTAATGACACCAGGCCCAGCGAACGCCAGATTCTGGATTCAATGACGTAATAGATCGGTTAAAATCCGCCTCCACAGAAGAATATCAACGCATAATTATGTAGCCCCGCCCACTGATTCGCACATGTCATTGTAGGAGAAGAATATCAAAACCTAATTCTGTAGCCCCGCCCACTGATTCACGCATGACACAGTAGGGAAATAACATAAGTGGCGCTAAACCGGATCGAGCAACCAAGCAATAAACATGCCGTTAAAGATCGCAGAATATTGTGCAGTGCCTGGAAGAACACATTCGCTGCATAAACTTCCTTCGGATTCAGATATTAGGAATGCGTGGATGAACTTTATTTTTAATGAAGTTTCAGCTTACGCGAGTAAAACATTGAGCGTTTGTTCGCTTCTTTTCATCGCGGACTCCTTTGTAAACGAGACACAGTCGACAAGACTGAGATTAAAAAGCAATGCTGTGCGTCTATATTGGATCCGACAGGAATGGCGCAGCACATTTATGCGAGTAAAAAATATTTGTACTGTATGTCACTATAGCTTTGTTAGAGATTGCTTGATATGTCCTGATTATGTGTATGTGTCTAACCGAAGTCACAGAAGGCTCCAAGCATGAAGGACGTCGGTAGCTTGTCAAACAGACACACAGAAAGTTGGTTTACTATGCAAAACTGTTATCCAATCACAGCAGTGGGCGTTTACTTCCAAGTGTTACCAGTGTTTCTACAGCCGGCCTCAAAACCAGGGTAGAAAATAGCCTATTACTTATTGATTTTGATGTTTTTGAATGTAAAAATCACGCGAACGTCATAAGTGGACCTCAGACAACAGTACAAAATAATTTTTAAAAAGCCAGTTCATGACCCCTTTAAAGGTAGGGTAGGTGATTTCGGAGAGGCTAGCAGCAGCAAGCTAGCTTTGAAAGCATAAGATCCCACCCTCCCTGCATAATCACTCTCCAACGCATCCTCCGAAACACATGAACGCGCAAAGGCAGAGCAGAGGCTGACCAACGACACGGTGAGAGACGGCGTTAGTGGAGGGTTGAACGCGACGTTGTCAGATTTCCTCACGTCTCATTCACCGGTGAGAAAACATTACAGTACAAAGCGCATAATATTATAAAAATATCGGCTTCCATTCTCGCTCGGTCCGCAATAGCATAAAGGAATGCGCTGATGACGTATCATATCTGCGTAGGGTGGCCATACGTGCCATTTTTACAGGACACGTCCTCGCCAGGATTTCTATCATTGGCTTTGTTTCCCTGTTTTCATACTTGCTGATCGAAAAGTAGCTTGACCAATATCGTGCAGGCATTGTACATAATCGACCAATCGTGGCGCGTGAGAAGGTGGGATCTACAGAGAACGGTCAGAGCGATGCAAATACACGTACAGATTAGATGTGTTCGATCGTTGTATGACATCAGAGCCAAATAGAATAGAATATAATAGAAATAGTTTTCAGGT